TGCAGAGAGTCGAGTGGCTCGGGCTGGTACTCTTTGTAGCCTCGAGCAGGGTCGCCGCCGTCGCCCGCTCCACCACCGCGGGCGAAGCCAGGAGGGCTGTGGGGCCCGTCGACCATCAAGATTTCCTCCGCTGGATCACTGCTTCCGCACTCGGATGCAGTCTCTCCGGAGCCAGTCGACTGATCGAACAAGCCGTAGAGAGATTCGTTGGGCTCGATTGCCGCAACTTGTGTAGTGGTCGACTGGCGAGCCACCGCGTGACTCACCCATCGCTGAAGCCTCGACCGGCCTGAGCGCTTGCGCTGGCGGGAGACCGGGAGGGTGGAAGATGGAGGAGCCGACCGATACTGGGTCGATGGTTGCCGCAGCAGAACGCCGCGGACACATGCGCGAAAATGCGTCGCACCGCGGACGGGGAGCGCGTCTACGTCGAGTGGAGCCTCCTGGAGCCATGCGGAGTCGTCGGCGATGAAGGTGAGAGTGCCGAGACGGATCTCTTGACCCTCGATCAAAACTCCAACAGACACCATGATGAAAATACTCGGAAGAATCGCAACTTCTCCACAAAATCGCTAAAACACCTGCCCCACGGTGGGCGCCAACTGTCGTGGTTCTAAGCCTGACAGTAGAGTGGGGGGTAGGTATGGAGAGGCAAGGTCCTAGCTATGGAGAGGTTGTAAGCACAAAGGATGTACGAGTTCAGGCCCTTCTCGGAAGAAGTAACAGCCCTACGTCTCGGAGCCCGGAGGCGGTCGAGTGGATTATGAATGTATGGATTACAAGGTGCCGAACCCTTCTGCCTGTGGAGGGGGTGGCTTATATAGAGTACGCCAGGACCCCAGCCAGCCCACGTAGGAGAGGGTTTAAGGTGAGTTAAGTCTGGGGCGTTACTGGTAACGCCCCACATAAAGTGCCTTTACTATCATAAAGTCTACTTAATTACAGGCCGTTGCGGTGCAGAGTGCCTCTTGACCTCCTGGTGGTCGAGTGAGTCTTCGTGGTCGAGTCCTTCAGGTCAGTCGAGTGAATCCTCGTTGGTCGACTGGAAGGCGACCTCTTCTAGGGATGTCCTAGGGTAAGTTACTTGGAACAGGTCCATGACCCTACCCTAGGTACATAACCCCATCAGGCATCATCGCCAAGAACATCACATCACCACCTCATAATAAAGAGACATAAGTACATGGGTATGGGCACTCCCCTTGTCAACGGCCGAGCTTGGGGGAGTGCCCCGGTATCGTATCACTATCACACTTTTATCTTTACCGTTTTTCTTAGTTCGATCCTTTTGATAATATCTTGATCTAGTAGAATAAAGTTTCAGTATGATTTAGTTTTGAGTTTTGCTTTATGATCCTTCTATGTAATCGAGTCTGTGAGCTATATATAATAAATATTAGTGTTGAGTCAAGGGCTTTGCCATCTTGCCATGATATGGAGGGAATAAAAATAAAATAAAAGAGAAAGAACAAAAATAAATAAAGAGATCATATGGATCTTATGGAGAGTAATGACTTCACATATAAAGAGTATGATGAATAGAAGTTGTTGAGAGTTGACAAACATAGTTTTGGTCATCATTACAATTAATAGGAAGTAATAAAGAAAGAGAGGTTTTCACATATAAATATACTATCTTGGACATCTTTTATGATTGTGAGCACTCATTAAAATATGACATGCTAAAAAGTTGATGTTGGACAAGGAAGACAACACAATGGGTTATGCTTTCTTACATCCGAAATAAATTATATTGTCATGGATCATCCAACATGTTGAGCTTGCCTTTCCCCCTCATGCTAGCCAAATTCTTTGCACCAAGTAGAGATACTACTTTTGCTTCCAAATATCCTTAAACTCAGTTTTGCCATGAGAGTCCACCATATCTACCTATGGATTGAGTAAGATCCTTCAAGTAAGTTGTCATGTTGAAGGCAATAAAAATTGCTCTCTAAATATGTATGTTTTATTAGTGTGGAGAAAATAAGCTTTATACGATCTTGTGATGTGGAAGCAATAAAGCAACAGACTGCATAATAAAGGTCCATATCACAAGTGGCAATATAAAGTGACGTTCTTTTGCATTAACATTTTTTGCATCCAACCATAAAAGCACATGACAACCTCTGCTTCCCTCTGCGAAGGGCCTATCTTTTACTTTTGTCTTATACCTTATACAAGAGTCATGGTGATCTTCACCTTTCCTTTTTACATTTTATCCTTTGGCAAGCACATTGTGTTGGAAAGATCCAGATATATATATATATATCCAATTGGATGTAAGTTATCATGAACTATTATTGTTGACATTACCCTTGAGATAAAAGATTGGGAGGAAAAACTATAAGCCCCTATCTTTCTCTGTGTCCGATTAAAACTTCATACCCATAAATATTGCGTTAGTGTTAGCAATTGTGAAAGACTAAATGATAGTTGAGTATGTGGACTTGCTGAAAAGCTCTTATATTGACTCTTTCTGATGTTATGATAAATTGCAATTGCTTCAATGACTGAGATTATAGTTTGTTAGTTTTCAATGAAGTTTCCGATTCATACTTGAAATTGTGAATGAATTGTTACTTTAGCATAAGAAATCATATGACAATATATATGTTGCTGTTCTAAGAATGATCATGATGCTCTCATGTCCGTATTTTATTTTATTGACACCTCTATCTCTAAACATGTGGACATATTTTTCGTTATCGGCTTTCGCTTGAGGACAAGCGAGGTCTAAGCTTGGGGGAGTTGATACGTGCATTTTGCATCATGATTTTATATCGATATTTATTGCATTATGGGTTGTTATTACACATTATGTCACAATACTTATGCCTATTCTCTCTTATTTTACAAGGTTTACATGAAGAGGGAGAGTGCCGGCAGCTGGAATTCTGGGCTGGAAAGGAGCAAATATTAGAGACCTATTCTGCACAACTCCAAAAGTCCTGAAACTCCATGGAAGTCAGTTTCAGAATATATAAAAAATATTGGGCGAAGGAAGCACCAGAGGGGGCCACCCACCATCCACAAGGGTGGGGGCGCGCCCTACCCCCCTAGGCGCGCCCCTGCCTCGTGGGCCCCCTGGCAGGCCTCCGGTGCCCATCTTTGGCTATGTGAAGTCTTTTGCCCTGGAAAAAAAATCATAAGCAAGCTCTCAGGACGAAACTCGGCCACCACGAGGCGGAACCTTGGCAGAACCAATCTAGGGCTCCGGCAGAGCTGTTCTGCCGGGGAAACATCCCTCCGGGAGGGGGAAATCATCACCATCGATCCTCTCATCGGGAGGGGGTCAATCTCCATCAACATCTTCACCAGAACCATCTCATCTCAAACCCTAGTTCATCTCTTGTACCCAATCTTTGTCTCCAAACCTCATATTGGTACCTGTGGGTTGCTAGTAGTGTTGATTACTCCTTGTAGTTGATGCTAGTTGGTTTATTTGGTGGAAGATCATATGTTCAGATCCTTTATGCATATTAATACCTCTCTGATTATGAACATGAATATGATTTGTGAGTAGTTACGTTTGTTCCTGAGGACATGGGAGAAGTCTTGCTATAAGTAGTCATGTGAATTTGGTATTCGTTCGATATTTTGATGAGATGTATGTTGTCTCTCCTCTAGTGGTGTCATGTGAACATCGACTACATGACACTTCACCATTGTTTGGGCCTAGGGGAAGGCATTGGGAAGTAATAAGTAGATGATGGGTTGCTAGAGTGACAAAAGCTTAAACCCTAGTTTATGCGTTGCTTTGTAAGGGGCTGATTTGGATCCATATGTTTCATGCTATGGTTAGGTTTACCTTAATACTTCTTTTGTAGTTGCGGATGCTTGCAAGAGGGGTTAATCATAAGTGGGATGCTTGTCCAAGGAAGGGCAGTACCCAAGCACCGGTCCACCCACATATCAAATTATCAAAGTACCGAACGCGAATCATATGAGCGTGATGAAAACTAGCTTGACGATAATTCCAACGTGTCCTCGGGAGTGTTTTCCTTTTATATAAGAGTTTGTCTAGGCTTGTCCTTTGCTACAAAAAGGATTGGGCCATCTTGCTGCACCTTATTTACTTTTATTACTTGTTACCCGTTACAAATCACCTTATCACAAAACTATCTGTTACCACTAATTTCAGTGCTTGCAGAGAATACCTTACTGAAAACTTTTTATCATTTCTTTCTGCTCCTCGTTGGGTTCAACACTCTTACTTATCAAAAGGACTACGATAGATCCCCTATACTTGTGGGTCATCAGACACAAACCCTAACAAAACTAAAAGAAACACCTAAAAACTGAGCCCTCTCGCCGGCAAGGGCCGGGATCCACAGCACCCCATGGTCCTAAGACCATAGGAGAAGAGGCGGACCGACGACGACACCGGTTAGAGGTAGAGGAAACCTAGGTGACAACCCATGGGTAGCACATATGAAGAGCCCATGCAACGCGTATCTCAGAGAGATCTTTTGTTACCTTGGGGGTTTGAAGGTAGTCTTCACAATCGCTGCCTACTAAGGATAGAGACCATCCACAAGGTAGTACCCCATGGTGTAGTCATGCCTATTGAGGTCAGTTGCATGCTGGAGCATGCCCCATCAAAGTCTAGTATACGATGGAGATCGTTGAAGCATGTTGATATCATTGTGAGACCCTAGCATGCCAAAGAAAGAGTGTCAAATCCATAAGTTCTTTTGATGTCACTGCTTCCAAGTATATTGGCAGGCCCTTTGGCGTGAACTTAGTATTGCCCGGCCAAACCCATGGAGCAGATTTTCCATCAACAATGCATGCAATTGACTATATCAAGCATACCGGGAAAGCCACTTGCTACTCCAATTGCCAAAAGCTTTTATGTATCCTTGGGATTTGGTTCTCTCAAGTACTCCAGTCCAAACACCTTCACTGCAGCAATGTCAAATCTTACTATTACGTTAATCCATCGTGTCCCTACGAATGTGAAAAAAACTCAAAAATAGTTCAAACATTTTCCTGAAGACATGGTGGTCGGACTAGGATGTACCGGGGTGGCGTCCGGGGTGGTCACCGTATCCAGTGGGAGGGGGAGGACGAGGGACGGCGCCGAAGCTCTGGGTGGGGGCTGGACAAGGGATGACGCGGGAGGTCTGGGTGAGGGTAGGAAGGGAAGGGCACAACACGGATGTGAAACATAACATGAGAGGAAAAGAACATGTTGGGATGCGGGATGGGGCGATTTTGGAGTATTTGGGATGGGTTGTGAGTGTCGTGTCTGAGAGATGTTTGTATGGCCCCAAATCCGCCCCACTTATGGTTGGGTTTGGGAACTATCGAATAACCCGGACCATTAGGTTGGATATGTGGGCGTCTGTCGAACGGGAGTTTTCTGTCCGTACACTGTCTAGGCTGTCCGCCCGAACATACTGGGAGGAGGGAGGATGTTGTGGGCCTCGACTATGAAATGCTCCTAGATATGGCGGAGAGGTGATAATCTAAGGTGTTTTCTAGAGTTACTTTCACTCCACTATTTTCTCGCCCCCCACCCCCTCCTCTCAACTTTGCCTCGTTGTTCATATATGTTTAACACTTGTATGCCATAAAAAGATAAAAACACATCTTACCTTTTAAAGCAACCTCATAACTTTTTGTCATTTCCTAACATCATACCCCCTCCGTCCAGTACTAACTGTGGCTCAAACGAATGTATTTAGCTGTATTTTAGTGCTAGACACATTCATTTGAGCGACAATTAATATCGAACGGAAAGAGTACACAATAATTCCCATCAACAAACGAACTGAGCATAGCTTGGTTAGGTTTCTTGTGGTGGAACCAGCTCATTAGGATTCAAGTCATAGACTTGGCTCTGGTGTTTGTATTTCCCTGGATTTATTTCAGACTCACTGGCGATGTTTGTTACGTGGGAGCAGACATTTCCATGGACTACGAGGCGTCAGTGATGACTTCGTCAATCTCAAGATGTGATGTCGAGCCAGTATCTTGGAGGTGCGGTATAGGATGTGCGTGCGTGCGTTCACAAGGGTGAGCGTACGTGGGAATCTGCACGTGTACTGTGAAATCTCATCGACAAGAAAATTAAAATCCGGGTACCTGTTTGTAATATCAAAAGAGTTCAAGCGCATGAACCGAAAGATTATGTGCAAGTACCAAACAGAGAGCAAAAGGACAGCAGATGAGCCGTGGCAGGGGGAGAAGAGTTCCGAGTTCCTCCCCTACCGGCCGCCCTCTTATCATTCCTGCCCCGGCGAGAGGGAATCTTGGGAATCTCCTCCAGCAACCCACCTCACCTCGACTCTTTGAATCCACCGCGGTCCTGCCGCTTCTATAGAACTAGTTTATTCCCTTTCGTGCGCTACAAAAATCTTCTCTTTTTTTATACAGAAAAATAAGTGGCGATGATGGTGACAGGCTTGTGTTGGGGGTTCATGCGCACTCCCGCAGCTACTTAGGTATCGGGTCGCGAGGGTCGAGCGCCAGCGCTCCATTCCCCCCGGATTGGATTCTGGTTTCTTCGTCCAAGAATTACCCGAGGTATGAGGAGACATGACCCACCCGAGAGTTTCTGTTTTGAGCTTGCTTTCCTGAAGAACTGCTGCGCTGCATGAAATTATTCCCTTTTCCCTTCATTTTTCGATGAACTGCACTGTTTGACATCAAGTAGGACTAATTCTTGTACTACTAAGGAGCAGATATATATGATACTGAAATCTCACTTATTTTTGGAAGGGAAATCTTTTTTCTTTGAGGGTTTGGAAGGGAAATCTCACTTCATGTATATCAGTCGTTGCCATATGTGTGCTTTATTGTGCAAAATTGTTCCCTTCTGGGTAGAAGAAAGTGTAAATTCTACACAAAGGAGGATTCAGTGGGATTTCTTTTAGCAATTTATTTCATTAGATGTTGCTAAAAGTAAATGTCTCTGCAGGAATCGAAATTCTTTGTGTTTTGGTTCAGAAAGATTTGATCTTGGGAGGAGAAAGGTCAGGCATGGATGAGAATGGGACACCAGATTACAGCGGTGGGGGCTCGGACATGGACCTGCTCATGCTCTCAGGGTTTGACGACCTTGACAGTTTCCCAAAGCTCGGCGCCGGTCCTTCATTTAGTGACGGTATCTTGTCGTCTTTCAGTGTTTCACCTGCGCAGCAGGTGACACATATCTCACCTTCACCACCTTCTGTGGATGCTGAGGAGCAAGGTGATGTTTCCATTACTGATGGTAGTGATTGCTCTGTCAGTTTAGCCTCTAACGAGGTCATGAATGTGAGCGCTCCCACTGTCCCAAAGACAGTTTATGGCGGCGTCACCCTGACGGAGAAGATGCTCAGGGCATTGGCCATGCTTAAAGAAGCATCAACTGCTGGGCCAGTCCTTGTGCAAGTTTGGATCCCTGTAAGAAATGGAGATCACCAAGTGCTGACCACCTCTGACCAGCCTTTCTTGCTTGATGAGAGGCTCACAGGGTACAGGGAAGTCTCTAGGCAGTTCACATTCTCAGCCACAGAAGGACCTGGTCTGTTTCCTGGATTGCCTGGGCGTGTTTTCATATCCGGTATGCCAGAGTGGACATCGAACGTGATGTACTACAACACTTCAGAGTTCTTGAGGGTAGATTATGCGATTCGCAATGAAGTCCGGGGATCCCTTGCCATGCCGGTTTTCAACTCAAGTGGCGGCTCTTGCTGTGCTGTGTTGGAAGTAGTCATGACACAGGAAAAGGATAACTTTTGCTCAGAGATGGACAACCTTTCTAATGCTCTGCAGGTTGATGATTATTTCTTCCGCTGTTCCTAAAATTCTTCTTCAGAATTGGAATTACTACGCACTACAGTTCTGGAGAAATGCATGATAGTAAAAAAACTGCATGTTGCAAGATTACCTTTTCTTTTTATCTAACTGCTTGCTTCCAGTATAATAACTTCTTTTATTAAAGTATGCTGTCCAATTAAGCTGATACAGATTATCCAGTTGCAAATTTGGTTACTGCTGAAATCATTGCTTCGTCATTGTTTTCTTTGCAGTTCATTACAGATTCATATGTTATACTAAACAGGCACAATATCATGAACTGAAGCAGATAGTATCAAGTTTGTGTAATCAAGAGAGGTGATGTGCTTTTAGTGCACCTGATAAAAAAAATTATGTGCTTAGTGGAATCCCATTATTGGTGTACACCTTGCACTCTTCACTTGCGAACTAGATTACTTAAAAACTTATTAAAAAATGTTATGTAGTGAAAGAGGTAATCTGCTTAGTGGCACTACCTTCAAACTAGAGAACTGGACAAATATACTTTCTTCAATCTTCTTCTCAGAACTCACAGTAGTGGTAGTGGAAGTGCACTGTAGTACTGTATATGCTCCATAAAAAGCACTTCCTTTAATTATTCATATGGAAGTTTTAGCATAAGATATTTTACGGGTTTTAGCTTTCTTACACATATGTTGATTCTTACCAAAGTATTCCCTCCATTCCATAATGTACTGTATATTGACTCTTTGGAAATCAAACTTTACAAACTTTGACCAAGTTTGTAGAGATAAATATCTACATCTAGAATACCAACTACATAATCATGAGACATATTTTCATATTATATATAGCTGGTATTTTTTTACATATAAATAGCTTTCTCTATAAACCTATCCAGTAGTTTGAAACTATCTACAGTTCAAACATGTAAATGAGTCGATGAAATTAGTAGAATTATTATACATGAACCGTATTTCCAAAATGGGTGCTAATTTCTGTTCCAATCCAAGCCTGTACACATATGATCTGTAAGCCCAAAGCATTTCTCATAATATTAATTGTGACATTTGTAATCTTGCAGTCTGTTCAGCTCAGCACTGTGCAAGCAAGGACACATCCTCAGGTACCATTATGCATTACTGTTGCGTCCATTGCACAGAAAAGACGTGTCAACATAATTGTTGAAATAACTCAATACTCTACGTTGCAGAGCCTTACTAGGAATCAGCAATCAGTATTGACGGAAATATTGGATGTTCTCAAAGCTGTTTGCCATACACACATGCTACCTTTGGCACTTGCATGGATTCCAGTTTGTCCCAACAGCAATTTGAATGTGTCAGCAGAGTATGGTGACCAGGCTATAAAATTTGGTCTGAGGAACAAAGATGTCCTTTGCGTACAAGAATCTGCCTGTTACATCAATGACATGAGAATGCATGATTTTCTCCGTGCCTGTGCAGAACACCCCCTTGAGAAAGGACAAGGTGTTGCTGGAAATGCAATTTTATCAAATCACCCCTTCTTCTCATCTGATGTGAGAGAATATGATATGCACGATTATCCGCTGGTACATCATGCCCGTAAGTTCGGTCTTCATGCTGCTGTTGCTATCAGATTGCGTAGCACATACACTGGCAATGATGACTATGTGTTAGAGTTTTTCCTTCCACTGACGTGCAAAGTTCGTGAAGAACAACAGCTCTTACTTGATGACATCTCAATGACCATGCAAAGAGTATGCAGTAGTCTGAGAACAGTTTCAGATGCTGAACTGAAGGAAAACACCATAATAATGCGATCAGCTATAAGATGCTCGTCGTCTGATGTTTCTATTAATTCATGTGACCAAATTGATGTATCCAGTGAAGTCAAAAAATATGCTAAGGTTCTTTTTCCATTCTCAATTTTTATCTCCCTCCTTTCTCTCCTCCCTCTCTCTCTTCTGATTGGTCCAGGCTTTCTGTGCTCCAGTCCTTAATATTTTTCTAAAGGCCCAATTTCTTTACAATTGTAAGTTGGAACTCTGCAAGGAAATTTTGGTCAACAAACTACTGGATAGGTTTCCTGCATAACATTTTTTTGTGGCTCATTTCTTGTATTGTGCTGCAATATAGTTGTAGATGTCTTTTCCTGCCGCATCATCTTGTCAGCTCTTTATCTTCTTCTAATATTTCATAAAAGGTGTTCTTAGGTTTTGCAGAGCTTAACTAAAATGCGTCCTAAAAATAGAACATGTATACGATTACTCCATGTCGATTTTGAATCTTATCAAGTCTTTGTAGCTGAGAAGTTCAATATCTTTCCAGTTTATAATGCAGAGCTAGAGATCTGAATGCCGTTATATATTTTCCAGAAACTAATTTGGTGGTCATGTTAAATGAATATTTTTGAAACAGAGACTATATCCTAAACCAATTAGAATTCAAACACATGTGCTATAAGAAATCCTTGAGGAATCCTACTAGAAATGGGAGTCCTCCGTGGCAGGTGGGAACCAATGACGGGGCCGGCCATGGAACACAACCCAAGCAATCAAGTGGATACAAGACTAAAGCGAGAGGATAGGATTGTTCTGAAAAAAAGTAAGAAAGGTGGATGGATAAGAGACTAGGTTTCTTCAGCACTAGATTCTTGTATAGGATAAAGATCCAAGGGTCCTAAAGGGGTGATCTGGCTGTGAGAGAGCGACAACCCTTGTACTTTGTGAGGTTGTGTTTAACTAATTCATGGTCAGCCTTGCCAAATCTCTTCTCTTTTGTCGTGATTGTTCGTTTTCATTATAATAGTACTCTCTATGGGGTTCATCTACATCTGTTTTGATAGTGTATACGTTCGTAAAATACCTGACAAACTCTTATCGGATCAAAGTCTGATTGAATCAGGAGGCTGTTGAGTGTAAGGGTATCTCAGTATAAATATGCCCTACAAATTAAAAACTAATGACTAATCTATTTCATTTGTTTTGCAGTTTGAACCTGGCAGCACATCTGAAAATTTTCAAAACTGCAGCTCAACAGGGAAGAATGTTAGCTTGACTGTCCTTCAGGAATCTACATCTGATAGGCTGAAAATACGCAGCTCAACGGAGAAGAATGTTAGCTTGAAAGTCCTTCAGCAATACTTTGCTGGCAGTTTAAAAGATGCTGCAAAGAGCATTGGTGGTAAGTTCTTCATGCTGTCACGGTCATTTGCTGGTATATATTTATACAAATCAATGGTTGTTATTCAGTTAGGTGATGAATCTGAACAAAGCACACCGTCATTTGAAAAATCCAAGTAACCATATGATGCTGTAGGTAAAGGAACTTACAGGAATCTTTTGTTCCTTTGTAGTTTGCCCTACAACGCTGAAAAGGATATGCCGGCAGCATGGAATATCAAGGTGGCCATCTCGTAAGATAAAGAAGGTAAACCGGTCACTACAGAAGATTCAGAATGTCATAAGTACTGTACACGGAGTGGAGGGAGAGATAAAATATGATCCTGCCACTGGATGTATTGTTTCATCTGTTTCCCATACCGAAGAGTCTTCAATGATGATGAATGTAGAACATCAAAGTTCTGATTCCCTGCCCATTGAATGCCATAAGTTCCAACCTGATTATGATGCATACCAAAGAGAACATCTAGGCCAAGCTGTACTCCACAAAGCACAGAATGACAAACGGAGCGAAACTCATATTAACCTGAATCCTGGAGGGTTATGCCGAAATTCAAATTTTGGCAGAACATCAAAAGGGCCACGGTGTCAGGATGCGTCAAACAGTTCGTATCTTACAAAAGAAATGATCTCTGCTGACGGTACGGATATGTGGGTTGAGGGAGCTGAGCAAAAGAACGTAGTGTGGAATTCTATTTCTATGCCACAGCAATGCAAAATTGAGATAGAAACAGACAAGTCTAATACAATTGTTGAGCAAAGCCTAGCATCTTCTTCCAGCATGACAGATTGCTCCAGTGGCGGTACATCCAGTGATGGGACTTTGAAGAAATGTTTTAAGAGTCGGTCAGTTGACGGAAGCAATGCAAGCATAGTTGTGAAGGCCGCTTACAAGGATGATACTGTAAGGTTGAAGTTACTACCATCCATGAAATACGAGAATCTGCTTGAAGAAATTGCGAAGAGGCTGAAGCTATCAGTTGGTGCATTTCAGCTCAAGTACAAGGATGATGAGGATGAATGGGTGATTTTAGCAAGCGATGCTGATCTCCAGGAATGCCTTGATGTATTAGACACCACCGGGTCACGCATCGTGAAAATTCAAGTACGAGATGTTCCATGCGCTACTAGAGCTGCTTCAGGTAGTAGCTCAATATCTCTGGTCGATAGGTCAGGGTGATGCCTCATGGTGCAAAACACTGGTGTTTTACTCATGACACATGGCTTTAGCAAGGCGCCGATCTGTAACATGTACTCGTGACATAGTATGGTAAACATGTTCATGTAAACCATTGCCAGGGGGTTCAACAGTGTTCATATTTTTTTGGAAGGGAGGAAAATGAATTTCTTTCATCCACCTATTCAAGATTTTGTCTATCTGGGACAATAGTCTACTCTGGGTCTTAGGTTTTGGCCGTGGTAGTTTTAGTTTGTCAACTTCTTTTCTACCTTTGTACATATTTTGCGACGTACCATTAGTCTACCAGTGAACTGTGGTAGTACACCTGCAAACTTCAAAAAGGAAGGGAAAAGGGATCCTAAGTGTAGGGACACCTTTTATTTCTGAAATCATTAGGCCATCATGCTCTAATTATAAATTGATAGTATGTTTTATGTGGCAATTTCATGAGTGTTGCTGATTTTGAGTTATGGTGATCAGTATTTGACTTCATACAATTCTGGTCAGGATTTTTTTAGTTCTTATGTATTTACCTACATAAAAATGAAGTCTGGTTACAAAACATTGGTGTCACGCCAGAGCACAGTTATCGCATTAAACTTTCAAGGGTTTCGAGAATGAAAACTTTCAAGGGTTTACAAAGTAAGACAACAGATTTAGCTATCAAATTTCATGAGAACACTTCACAGCCATAAGCCAGAGCCGGGACATGCAGATAACGATAGCACCAAACTGACTTCTTACAGTTCATTTGTATAGTTATGGTTCTATCGGCAACATCCTTTACATCATCAACCAAATAAGTATGAACCGGAACAAATAGAATGCACACAGTGACGGCAAAGAACCAATCACTTGCTGTAATGACAAACACAACGGTGGCAACAAGGGCTGGCACCTTGTTCAAGTCAAAACTTTGAAATTCTAACTAAAATTTCCAAGTTCCCGGTCACTGCAACCGGAATAAATCCTCGATTGAGGGGCCAATGGACATGGCTTCGTCCACCATTTGCTTCACACTGGGCCTAGCAATGCTAAATAGTGCCAGGCCATTATTTGTAATCTTGCCACAACCATGTATATGCAGGACCTCAAGGCGCACACATCCATCCTTGAGAGCATGCAATCCTTGGTCACATATGTTTCGGCAACGGTTCACATGAAGAATTCTTAGCTTGTTGCAGTTCAATCCAATCGCCGACCAACCAGGTAAGCGGACGCCATGACAGACAGCAAGGCTCCACTCCTCGATCAACGGACACCCACTAGCTATTGCCACCACAGAATCATCAGTAAGATAGCGGCACATCCTCAGATTCAGAACTCGGAGTTTCTTCATACTGCCAACTCCACCTAGGCAATCCAGCCCAGCTGAACTCCTTAGATTATACAAATTTATGTACTGGAGTCCACCACCACTCGATATGTCTAGCATTCCCTCTGAAGAAAGCATGCAGGACTCGGCTTCTAGGTAAGAAAGTGTACTTGGGCAACCTCTAAATCCAACACCGGATACACCTCTGCAATATGATATGATGAGTGCACAAATGTTTCGGCAATTCCTAAAGATTGAACTAATCCCTCGATCTGAAATGGCTGTGCAGTAACCAAGGTTAAGACTCTTCAAAGAATGACAGCCCTGGGAAAGACTTTCCAAACCAAGATCTGTGATATTTAAGCAGCGGTAAAGTTCCACTATAACCAAATTAGGACATCCGATTGACACTTGTGCTAGACCATCATCTGTTATACCAGAACAGGAGTACAATGAGAAGGACTGCAAAGATGTTCCAGAAACTCCCACTTCGTACAGAGCTGAATCAGATAGCTCATTAAGCCCCGCAAGGGATATCAACTGAAGATATGGAGAACGAGCCAACATCTTTGGAAGGCACTGGGCATGCTCCTTGTATGCTTTAGCATTAAACGAGAAATGAAATATTAGCGATTTTCGAGCAATGTTTCGAACCTTGAACCAATTCTTACAAGTTAACCCAAAAGCATTCCTGTCCGATTCACTTTCAAGCTTGTTAAATATAGAAAGCAGGCAATCATCAGAAAGGCAACTGATACAGCCTTCTATGCTGTCATCCATCATCTTCTTTTCCATATTCTGACTACACTTGACCAATTATTGAGTACCGTCTGAAAGTCGGAGAGCCTGGATCTTTATTAAATAGTTTTGGGATGTACCAGAGGAAGAACTTGCTGGATCAAAGCTACACAATACAGGTGGCTCACCGTATCCATAGCCAATAGATGATCCACATTTTCGGCACAGAAGCTTAGTTTTCGGCCGGTAGCTACGCCAGGTAAGGAAAGGAAAACAAGATATCTCGTCAACCTGAGTAAAACGGCTGAGATCAATAGAAGTGAATGAAATCAGACCCTTCTTCAGAGATTTTTGGTACGAGGATCCTACGTCAGATGTGCTTCTGTTAGAAGATGAAAGATTTAGAGCATATCCACAGGATCCACAGCTGCCAATAGACATGTAATTATTGTCAAAAAATCATGCAGAAAAAAAAAGGAAAAACCATACAGTACCAAAAATGTTTTGTACAGAAGGGGCATAGTAGCCCAAAAAAACTGGTGAAACAATCAAGCTGGTACTCCCTCCATCCGAAAAAGCTTGTCCCTCCTTGGTGCTAGATACATCCATTTGAGGGACAAGCTTTTTCGGACGGAGGAAGTACTTAGGTGTTATTAGCGATAAGAGTCATGTAACATTATGTCACCAGAAAGGTAAAATATACTCCCTCTGTTCACTTTTATAAGGCGTTGTAGACATTTCAGACAACGTGCAAAACAGCTCAATTTCAGTTGTCTGAAACGACTTATAAAAGTGAACGGAGGGAGTAGTACTTGGGTACAAAAAATGGCGAAACAATCAAGCTGATACTTAGCTGTTAGTAATAAGAATTATGTACATTATGTCAACAAAAAAGATCCATATATGTCAATACTTATCAATAACAGGTTCTGTTTATCCAATGTGTATCAACCCTAAATCCTTCCCAAGATTCCTTTATAATTTATTTTTATTGCATCATTGATAAAGAACAATCACAGAAATGCAATTACTGTGCAGCGATAGTCAAGAGATTGTTCACTGCTGTAAATATATAAGTACTTAGTATCAAACATCACGATTCTGCTATTGAAGAAAACAAAAACAAGTCAAACCAAAGAAAAAGCCTGAATTGAGAAAATAAAAATAAAATAAGAATATTCTTTACAAGAAAAAGGAATCTTTGGTGATGCCTCGTACGATCCACTTTTACAACATGGCAAATCCCCAGTTACTAATTGTAATGCCTAGTGGTGCGAGGTTAAATGCTAGATGGTTGCAAGATTGTGGATGGTGCAGGTGCTTAAAGGACAAACTCCGTGGCAACACAAACGTTTCAAGTTTCATACGTTCACGTCAGTATGTCCACGTGTAACACGGTGTATTAACGTTATCATGCAAGGAGAATCCCCAAGAAAGCACGCGCCAAATAGATGGATCTCTACTTATACGTTGCAATTAATTAATTGCGCGCCAAAACCTCCAGCACCATGAATATTCCTGATATCATAAAGTCGACTACCACCAAGCTACAAAATAAGACATTCTATTCTTATTCGCAAAAAATAATAATCAGAATTGTTGTACATGGAGGTCATGGATGGGGGTAGCCCAATTCGCAGAACCGGCATGCAAACCAAGAATTCTGTTTACATCAGACAACAAAAGGCATCAATTATCCCGAGTAGAGATATCCCGAGTGAAGTACTGTAGGAGTAAATTCTACACCAAATAATTATGCAGTAGGCAACAGATTCTTTATCCTAGGTTCTTGATTCGTAAACTAAGACACCAAAATATACTCATCCGAAAAGCTAAGAACCTAGCAGAGCCACCTACGTAGAACAGCTCAGTACCCGAGAGCCTGACCCATACCCAATCCGCCCGAGACTCCAAGAACTCGCCCCTAATTCCCGCCCGAACAACCCAAGACGCCTAACCGGACAAATTGGGACGAGTAGATGGTATGAGGGCAATCACCTGTACACGACGTCGGGCAGGGACATCCTGGGGCGGCAAGATCGGATTGTGGCGCGGGGGTTCTCATGGATTGGAGCGTCAGATGGAAGGGATGACGGCCATTGTTTCGGTCGCGGAGGGGAGGGGACGGGAGCGGCGGAGGTGGGGGAAAGGAAACGGTGCGGATGATGATTTGGCAATTTTGGCAGCTGCGCACGAACTGTCCGTCGAACCGACGTGTGTACGACTCGGCCGGCTGTTGACTATTTGCTTTGCGATTCCGTCCGAGATAAAACTGACGCGTATTTCGTGTAAAGAAAAAAAAATGACGCGTATTTGAATTGGGAGGATAACACTATTGTATGTTGCCATAGCATTTAAGCCGGACTTGGCAAATCCAGCACTCTAAACGTTCAAGAAGTCCGATGCGTTCGTGGACAGTGACCGATCACCCCTTAAGTTTTCGGGAGCCGGCTCCTCTGACTTGCAGGAGCAAAGGTAGGAAATCTAAAGTGGTTCAATGTGTAAAACAACTGAGGTAAGTCAGGGAGTATAGTAGGCACTATATGTTGTACTCCCTCTGTAAACTAATATAAGAGCGTTTAGATCATTATTTTAGTAATCTAAACACTTTTATATTAGTTTACGGAGGAAGTACATGATTACTGTAATGAATAACTATGGATAATCATGTGTTTAAATCACTGTTCATGCGTACGTGGTGAAGCAATGTCATGAAATATTGTTTCCTCTGACTTCCTTTGGAATGTTAGAGGATTTTGTTCCAAGTTTTCAATGCCACAATCGGGTACCTCATTTAGCAAACCCAAATCCATACAACCACATGCATTGTAATTAACTCTACAATCATGCATGGCTACTACATCAAGACATGCCATCGTACTACCAAAAATTGGCATGTTCAGACTAAGTATCCGAGGGGCAAGCCTTGCCTTGCCTGTTCGCATGCATATGGATCCCGGTTTTGGAAGTCCATTCAGTGGATTAAGTAGGAAATCCAGCCTAGGTTATCCTTCTCTATCGGCAATGATGAGGGCCCTATTTTTTTTCCGAACTGGGCTTTCCCCTTCCATTACAATTTGTTGAGAGTGCCAATGTCATATCATATTTTTATAGAAGGAAGCAAATATGATACAAGAATCATTCGATCAATGCAAACATCAATCATCGGAACACCCAGACCAACCAAGACACAATACACCTAACTTTCAATAACGAAAATAAAAAGTTCTTCGTACTAGAGAATAAGTAACGCGGGGGTAGGGAAAGAGAAGAAGCGAGCTCGGGGCAACACCAGGAAACACACTGCCCGTGCCTGCCATCACGACACATGCCATGGGGGCAAAAACCTGATGTCACCCAAACTACCAAAACCTAGAGAAAACACAATAGTTATGATTTATCTTTTGCAGGGGACCATAGATGAACCAAACCAACTACACAGTTCTCGAACCAAAAGCCAAACCAAACTAAGACGAAACACCAGGCAAAAAGGAGACGTTGGACTGCTTCTCGATGACCTGCAAATCCGAGGCTTAGGGCTCCTTTGATTCAAAGGATTTGCATAGGAATTTTGGAGGATTGGAATCCTTAGGATTTTTCCTATGTTGGTTGTTTGATTCATAGGATTGAATCCTATGCGGATTTTTCCTAAGGCCTCCTTTGGTTTTGAGAAATTTTGTAGAAATTTCATAGGATAGGATTTCCATAGAAAAAATTCCTTTAGATCCTTTTGTTTGTATATGGAGGAATTCTTCCTATCCTCATAGTTCATAGGAAACTGAACATTAGCCTAGATTCAATGGAAAAGATCATGTAATGTGAATCAAAGGACATCTCTTTTCCTATTCATACTCATAGCATTTGAGATACATGTCATCTCAATTCCTATGGATTTTCTATTCTTATGATTTTCCTAACCCTATGAACCAAAGAAGGCCTAAGGATTTCTTTGTACTACTTCCCACAAGATTTCTAGTATCCACTCAAACTTCTTTGTAAGGATCCTTTATTTTTCCTATGATGTCATCAAACAACCCAAAATCCTGTAGGATTGAGATGACCATGACATTCTAATCCTATGCTTTTCCTATTCCCGTGTTTTAGAATCCCATGAATCAAAGAGGTCTTTAAGTCTTTTTTTAATTGAAGGCAGGAGCGCTTCCCATTCTATTAGAGGAGCTGCCCATTCTATTAGCATGAGGAAAACATGTTCTTTTTAGTACAGATACATACCTGAAGGCCATACAAACAGTTGTAGCAAAATGCTCAGCCTAAGAGCATCTACAAACGGAGTTGGCAAAATCGGTGCCTCAAATGCCCGCGTATGCTCCCGTCCACGAACATTGACCGGTCACGTCTCAAAACCGAACACCTCAATTAACAAACCTTAAATCCATACAAACTCATGCAACTATGAACTACCAAAAATTGACATGTTTAACCTACAAACTAGCTATGGAGAAGATCATCCACGGCTACCCTTGCCCTTCCCGGTGCCCTTGTCGTCCTTCTCGTGGAAGTACCGGTCGAAGAAGCAGTATGGATCATGTTGGGTTCAGTCCCACATCAGTTGTGGGAGGAGACAGAACACGACTTATAAGGGTGGGGGTGTCCCCTCTTAATAGGCTAGTCTTTTGAGGGGAGAGGGCCCAATGCCTCGGTGTTGCTCTTTGGTTGGGCCTGGTTGGCGCACGTGGGTCGAAAACACTGGTGTTGGCGGACCCATGATTACGTAACTATTGGTATCAGAGCCCAGGTGCTCGGAATAAATCTCGATGGACTAACGGATGGTCGGTCATTGTTGATGGCCTGGAAACGCTAGTGTTAGCAGACCCATGGTGTCGTGTTTTGTCACGGCTGATGCCCTAGTGAAAGGACTTAGATGTGGAGCCATCACAACATGGGTTAGCTTGAAGGGGTTGAACGGGACAAAGGACACAAAGGATTTACCCAGGTTCTCCCCTCACAACGAGGTAAAAGCCTACGTCCTGCTTCTAGTTGTATTGCTTGAGTTTCGATTACAAGGGAGCGAATACGCTTGACCTAGCTATCGATCAATTGTTTCTTGAGTTAACCCGCCGCCGGGTCTCGCCTTTATATACATAGGTCGAGGTCCGGCGGTTTACAAGAGTCCAGGTCGGGTCACACAACGTAACCGACTCTGGTTCTAATTCCCTTGCCTTACAGAGCAAGTCATCATCGGGCGGCTGACACCTTTGGGTCTTGAGTCGCCTCCGGGTCTTGGGCCTCCAATAAGCCTGTTTATGAACCACCGTCTTTACATCTTGTCTTCTTGGGCCTTCTTGGACCCCTTGATATAAGTCGACAGCTGTGTAACTTGGCCCTTCCTGGGTGGGTCACACCGCGGGGTTATATCCCCAACATTAGCCTCCAGATTGATTTGAACCTGTTCATGTCAATCTTCATCCTTTGGCTGGCGA